TAGGATAATATAATTGACATTTCTGGATTCCTTGCAGGTCAGGGAATATTTTGAATGTAAACTTCATATATTTTGCACAAAAGATAAAATACTTGCTTTGTGTAAACCAAATTATTACATTAGATCTAAAATTTGTATGTCTAATGCAAAATCCATGATGTTTATATTCAAAATGATCATCATATTGTAAGAATTCCAACAATGTAAATTATATTCTGGTCGAGTAATTTGTATGAATTTTATGAGCTAAAACAAATATCTTCAGTTAATAAAAAAAAAAATATTCTTCATGACACTATCTGTCAATCAAAGTACCCCAACTTGCCTCCCCCCTCTTCCAATCGCGCCAGATGGTCGGTCCGTCCCAACCCTCCCCCCCACCTTCCCTCCCTACCAGAGAAATGTTGGGTGAAAAAACTAGATTTTAACTTTTAGTAATAAATAATACCTCAGACTAAAGTTAGGATAATATAATTGACATTTCTGGATTCCTTGCAGGTCAGGGAATATTTTGAATGTAAACAACATATATTTTGCACAAAAGATAAAATATTTGCTTTGTGTAAACCAAATTGCAATTTCACTACCAATTGTTTTTTTTACCACAAATCTATTTTTCCCATGGCATTTGGGTTGATTCATCCAAATTTGACTTTAAATTCCGTCGGAAATAAGCCGTTTGAGTTATCCCCCCCTCCCCTCCAACAATCTTGGGGGACCTGTGGTAATTTGGGGTTTTTGGGTGGGGGTAGAGCAAAAATGGAAGCTGACCTTACATATCCTAACCCAACCTAACCTAACTAAAACCTAACCAAACCTATCTTAACCAAAAACAGAACCTAAGTTAAGCAAAATCTAACCACAGCCTGGCAAATTTAGTTTCAGCTGCAACTACTGTTTGACCATATACTATATTTTTGCTTTTTCCCCATGGTATTTGGTCTGATTCATACAAATTTGACCTGCATTTCTGTCGCAAATAAATCGTCTTATAGTTATCACCCACCCATAGAGCCTAACCTAACCAACCACAAAAACCTGCCCAACTTCATAGCCGTCACTGTCTTATTAAACAGAAAGTACTTATTTTGATATCTGGTACAAAAGAAAGGGACTTTGTTGAAGCATCATGGTGTAATTTTACAGTTTTTTTGGATGTGAGAGTATGGTGAGACCAAGCATTAACGTAAATCTGCGGTAACGCAGATTTACGTTAATTTCTTATGTGAATTTACTATCTTGGTTAATATCCATTTGCGATGAAAGTGTTATTAGAAAAAGTTGTTCCTATTGATGAGATATAACTAATGGTAAACACAAAATTGCTCTAATCGAGTACTGTACTGCAATAATACCCAAGGCCCAACCTAACCAAAGCCCAACCTAATCTTTTAGACCCACCAGATTTCTCTGATGGCAACATTTTAATTCTCGGGAAATCTACTTACAGTATATGTCTCTCATATAGATAACGTCAACCCGATGGCCGTGCGATATTTTATGTGAACTTCCTACATGAATTTACAATCTCGGTTATTATCCATCTGCGACGGATGTGGTATTTGAAAAAGTGGGAAAATTGTAGTTTCGGTCACTATGCCCTAGTAGTTTAGAAATTAGTTTATCCTGTGTGTTTTAGTGTGATTTAATCGAATTTGACCTTTATTTCCTGAGGAAGTACACGTTTTAAGTTTACTTCCCCCCCCCCCCCAAGGAATGGAAAAACTTTAAAATTCATTTCTGACATTATTATTCTTTGTCCCCTGGTTGAAATGGGATTAGAAATACAACAAATAAGGAGCTCTGAAGGTTGGAGATGGTTAAAACAATTGGCCATGTTTTAGCCGAAACTGCAATCATACCGAAAAAGTTGCTGTAATTGACTAGATATGTCTTCCGGTGAACCCAAAATTGCTCTAACCAATGGGAGTGAAACAAAAATACTGTAACACCATTTGTTTATACAGTAAAACATCAATAATTTGATTATGCTGCTGTTAACAACTGTAGTTAACAGGACCAGTGTCAGAGCTGTCTGCTTTAGAAATAGCACGTAGGCCGTGGTCACCATGCCCCTGGAAATCTGACAAAAAACATCACTTAAGAGTTTATATACAGGTTAACTCTGACAAAAATAAAAAATGGTTCAGTTTGAGTATTTGTCAATTCGGCCATTTTTCATTAACCACTCATCACCTTTTTACGATTTTTTTTCTCTTACCATTTAATAGATCTCTCCAAGAAACGAAAGAATATAGTACTTGAATTTAGTGGGGCATTCCAAAACTAAATGTGATATTCACAATTTATTTATTTTAATATTCACAAATTTTTCTAGGTCCCAATTTGATGTATGGTGACACGCAACGTCGCTCTCGTTCGTTCGTTTGTGTGTTAGCCCACCTTGATGCATGGGTGGATAGAAACTACATAACACTGAGCTTCTGGGTTGACCAATCAGAGACGGTTTTCCACTTTCCAGGAATTCTAAGTAGGATTTGGCCTGTTAGATAAGGTCAGGTAAGGTTAGGGGGTAAATTATTACCTTACGACCTAAGTCCCTAGGGGTTGACCAATATATTTTTCCAGTGTATTTTGGTGTGTTTTAAACTAATATGACCTCCCATTTTTCGTGGAAATTGCTCGTTTCCCCCCCTCTTCCCATCGATAATGAGGGAGTCTGAGAAATCGGGGTTTTGGGTGGGGGAAAACACGAAAACGAGTAGTCTAACCTAACCAGACAAAACCTAATCTAATCTAACCCCTAGCTGGCAGACTCCTGGTAGGCTTAGCTTAAACTAACCTAACCTAACCTATCCTATTCATTTCCAACTAATATAAATGGGGTTCAAAAGACTAAAAATAATGAGATCTAAATGTTTCAGTAGTTCTAAACTTTGGGGCGCGCCATGTCCGAAAGTAGAGTACAATACCTTAGTTAGAAGTGAAAGGACCAGGGATAGGTTCAGGTTCAACCTCTGATGCTTGTTCTTTCTAAAATTAATGGCAATTTACAGAGTGAGCATTCAACAGACGTAGGGAGAACACCGTGATTACATAGGAATTAGATAGCTTGATTGTCTTTCTCGTAAAACTCAGCAATAAACTTTAAATAATTGTAGGAGCGCAATTTACACCCAACCTCTGCCACGGCCATTGAAATTGAAATCCTTCAAATTCGTACCTTGGCTCCTCCCTTTGAAAAAATTCAATTTTGATTGGTCAAAAAAAATATGTATGATGAGATTGATACAACATTGGTCACGACCGCATGAGTAATGTAAATGAGCTCATAATTAGCTCGCTTTCACGACGATAACATCTCACGTAGACGAAGACTGAAAAGTACGTAAAATCAATTAAACTCAATTGTGTCGCTATTATCCATTTCCGCCAGGTATATATGGGATACAAAATGCTCAGAATAGGGAGATCTAAATGTTTCAGTCATTTATAACTTTGGGGCACGCTATATCCGCCAGTAAAATAATACCGGTTAGGGTAGTACGTAGACCTAGTTTAGTTTTAACCTATTTTCCCATGAAAAATATTTGCTTTCGCTAGTTTTCTTGGTGTTTTAGATATTTCTGACATATTTTTGGTGAAAATCAATCGTTTTCAGCTCCCCCCCCAACCCAAAACCCTGCATTCCCAACGTGGGCCCCAACATTATTGGGATGGGAGGGGGGTGGGAATAAGTGAGAGGGGAAAAAAAAAAGTGATTAGCCGAAAGATAAATGTCAGAAACCATCTAAAATAGCAAGAACTAGCATAAAAATATATTTTTTCATGTGAAAAAAGGTGATGGGTGGTTAACGAAAAATGACCATCAATTCGCCATAGCACCAAAGGTTAAGGACTACTTGTCATTTCTTAATTATCTTTGGTCAGTGTGGGATAAATGCCACCAGGGATTTGGATACTGAGTCATACGTGGTTAGATACAGAAGAAAAAAATCTATAACGTTTCCGTCGGAAATTTATAATTTTCGAGAAAATTGGAATTTTGTATTTGGCCAATCAGTGGTAGTTTTATTTTTACGTCATAGTCTTGCGGGTGTTCTTGCATCGTCAGTAAAGTGTCCACAGTGTAAATCAGTGTCAGTGACGTTTCCTATAAATGATGGTGAACATTTCCATGAATTCCTCCTCACCATTGCTGATTCATATTAACCTCATCATTAAAGTAAGTTGTTTTACACATAAATTAACATGATAATGCATAGAAACTAATAGAACCTGACCTAACATACCCAACCTATGGGTATGTTCGGTCAGGTTCTATTAGGTTCTCTGCATTGTTTCCAAGTGGCATCACTATATCCTCCGGTATCTCACACTTAAGGTAAGTTATATCTTCACTGTGCCTCATTTTCGACGGAAACGTTATAGAAGAAATATTTTGTATTTATTTTTTCTGTATCTAACCACTTATGACTCAATATTCAAATCCCTGGTGACATTTATCCCACACTGACCTTAACTATATTCTATTTTTAGAGCTACAGTAAAGTACATTCATTATCTACTGTGTTAGTAACAAGTCCCAAAACAAAATTTTAATAATCACCAGTTTAGTGGTGCCCCTGTCGTAAAAATTAAGCCATTTGAATTATGTTAGTTAATAAGGAACTCTGAGTAATGTACCTCATTGAAAAAAATGAAGTGTCATCATTATTGTTTTACCCCACTGTAGTGGCATATCAAACACGTTTCATAGGGAATTGAATGACAGAAAATGTCTAAATCCCAGGCATACATGACATGACATAATGCCAAAGTCACAAAATTACTTTCTAACAGAGGTTTAGTACAGTAAAGAGGTAGTTTGTGGTAGTAAGGGAGGCGAGGCAAGTGTGGGGTTACTAGTGGGTGGATCAGCTGACGATCAGATTACTGGGACCACACGTAAACATTACTCCCGACTATTGTAATTACTTCCCGATAATGTATTATTTAACTTATTTCACAGATCTATATAAATCCAAATGTCACATTACCCAAAAGTAGTCACAGAAGTCGACTGCCATCCTGTGCACAAATCCCTAATCGTTGAATACTTGTCCGTCCTGCATCATAACAAACTGCCAATATGGCGACGTCTCGCGAGGTGTTGCGTGGTTAAGCGAGAACCACCCCGCCATATTATAAAACACTACACAGTAATATGTTTTCGTTACAAGTACTGTTGTTTGTAATATAACATTTTATGTAAACATGAAAATAAGTTAAGTAATTAAACTCCTATGAATTTGTAGAATAAATAGGGGTAGATAATATATAAATCAATTAAATGAGTTCATCAACGATGATTGCAATATGGCAATTAACATCAACAGGGCGATAGGCGACACCAGAGCTCATTACGTTGAATAACATGCTAAGCATAGAAAGCGATACATGAGGTCGTGATTTTTTAACCACTGGCTATTCTGCTTTAGTGTCGATGCTCATGTTGACTAATTAAATAAGTATAAATATATTATTCACTTGCAACATGATGGAGGTTTATTGATTCTGCAAAATCTGCGTGATTAGTACGAAAGAGAGCTCTTAAGATGAGACATTAAAAATTTCACATGCGTTAACCCAAGTGTTCACAAGTGAAGTAAAAGAAAGGATGCGAACAAACTCCCCTTATTTGAGGAAAGACAGTTTGACACAGTGCTGAAGCACATTGAGTTCTCACTTCTCAGAAGAATGCTGTTACCGCCGCCCTCGTACACCGCGACCTCTGACCCCATCTTGCAGCATGCACCGGCTCCTGAATGTACCTGAACCTGCTCCAGTGTTGGTCAAGTCTGGTCTTGAAAGAGCTTAGACTGGGTGACGTCACAACACTTTCTGGTAGATTGTTCCAAGAGTTCACAACTCTCACTCCGAAAAAGTTTGCCCTCACAGTTTTCGGGACTTGCGGCTTCTTCAATCTTGAGCTGTGACTCCTTGTGGGGCGAGCGTCCGCCAGCTCCAAGTAATTACACTCGACTGAGTAGTGCCCTTGAGATGTTTATACACCTCAATTAGGTCACCCCTTGCTCGTCTGTAGTATATGCTAGGCAAGTTCAGGTGCTCCAATCTCTCAGGGTAGCTGAGGTGCCGAAGGGCATGCACCAGTCTGGTGGCCCTCCTTTGAACATTTTCAACCGACTGACAGTCCCTAGCATATCTCGGGGACCAGACGGGGTGACAGTACTCCAGATGGGGAAACACTTCACTCTGGCTGGACTCTCCTGCTTGTCGCAACTACTTAATTAAAGTGCTAGATCCAGGAGTGTCAATGCAGTATCGATACTATATTTTATGACATTGCCAAGGTTTTCGACAGTGTACCTCATGAAAGGCTGAAAATTAAACTGGAAGGGTATGGAATTCGGAGGAGCGGCCTAGTGTTAATCAGAAATTTTCTTTGTCATTGCAATTGTGTGGTGATTGATTGCATAAAATCATGTGTACCTGTGACAAGCGGGGTACTACAGGACAGTGAACAGGGACCCTTGTTGTTTGTTTGTTCCATGAATGGGTTAATATTGACGATATACTCGTCGCCCTATAATTTAATTTGATGGATCGTTTCTTTCTATATTTTCACTCTGAGTTCGGACATGATACTCATTTCTTGGGAAAACGCTTCGTTTGGTAAACAATTATGCCCCTAGGCTCACACTACTTCGTCTTTCTTGACAGTGAAATGGAATGGCGGATGTACCACAGCCAATCAAATTGAATCATTTCAAAACACCCACAATACCCATTTCAATTTCCCCATGGAATATGAAGGGTGTCGTGGTCTTATATAGACAGAACATGGCATCCTTCCCTCTACAAGAGACTGCAGGAAGCCTTGTGTTTACCGACCAGAGAGGAATCGGTTCCAATGTAATACGAAAATAGTCGATAAGTGATGAGCAGGACAGGAGGATGCATGCCAGACCCAGGAACCAAGCAAAGTCGGAGTGCAGAAGGGCTGAAAAATTCCAGAGGCGGATTACTTGCGAGGTCAAGTCAAACCAAAAGGCTTTTTACTGCTATGCAAATTCGAAATTAAAACGTGAGTAGGCGTATCGGATATGAGGCTTGAAAAGTTAGGATCACAAGAGATGATGCGAAAAATGTTCCTACGTTTGAGGATAGACGGTTTGACACAACGCTGACCCACATTGTGTTGTCAGAAGAGGGTATAAGAAATAAATTGTTAAAGCCAAAAGCCAAAGGTTCATGAGAGTCCCGGCTCTGATATGGTACACCCCAGAATGTTAAGAGAGTTGTGAAACGAGCTTGCTGAGCCAAAGGCATGTTATGACTGGAATGTGGCGTTGTGAATCCAATATTCAAAAGGGGCGATCGTCACTCCACGAATAATTATAGACCAGTGAGCCTGACCATCATAGTGTGTAAAGTACTAGAACATTATAAGAGATGCTATGATGGAACATCTACTAAGAAACAACCTCGTAAAGGACTGTCAAAGGGTTTTTATGCCGGGACGTTCCTGCTTAACACAATTACTCAAGGTACTGGATGTTTGGACTCAAATTTTGGAACAGGGCTATAATATAGATAATATACACCTAGATTTTGTCAACGTTTTCGACAGCGTGCTCCTTGAAAGGCTGAGAATTAAACTGGAAGGGTACGGGATTCGGGGAATGTTTCCTAGTGTGGATCAGAGACCTCCTTTCACCATCATCTCAAGCAGTGTGTGGTGATTAATGGTACGAAATCGTCATGTGGTACCCGTGATAAGCGGGGTACCACATGCAGGGCAGTGTACTGGGCCCGTTTTTGTTTCTTCGTTTCATAAATGGCATGCCAGAAGCTATACACTCCTCCATACAAATGTTTGCGGACGATGCCAAGTTATTCAAGGAAATTAAAAACCAAACAGATTGTGAAGAGCTACAGAAAGATCTTTGTCAGCTTCAAGAGTTATCGAAGAAATGGCTGCTAAGATTCTATGCCACGAAATGTAAGAGGATGCATCTAAATCGTACCAACAGTAAGGAGGCTTATCACATGTAACGAATAAACTGCATTTATAGAAACCGAATGTGAAAAGGACCAGAGTGTGTATGTTGACAATGAACTGAAGTTCTCAGACCTTTGTGAGAAGGTGAATTACTTAACTAAACTAGTAGGTCTTATAAGATATAAGAAGGTTTTTCAGATATCCTTCGTTACAGTCTTCGAGAGTGAGGTGCTTCCCTGTTTGGAGTACTGTACTGTCACGCCGTCTGGTCCCCGAGATATGCTAGAGACTGTCAATTGATAGAAAATGTCCAAAGGAGGGCCACCAGACTGGTGCCTGCACTATAGCACCTCAGTTATCCAAAGATATTAGAACGCTTGTAACTCCCTAGTTTATACTACAGGCGGGCAATGGGTGACCTAATTGAAGTTTATAAACATCTCAGAAGGCATTACTCAGTCGAACGTCCAGCTTGGAGCTGGGAGACGACCGCCCCACAACGGGTCACAGTTCAAGGTAGAAGAAGCCACAAGTCTTGAAAACAGTGAGGGCAAACTTTTTCGGTGTGAGAATTATGAACTCTTGGAACAACCTGCCGGAGAGTGACTGTGTAATGACCACGGTCATACACGTCAGTTAACGTAAAATCAGACGATTCATATTACGCTCAATAGCCCACAAAACATGTAGCTATGCTTTCTTATTGGAGTTCCCCATCTAAGGAATCCGTTTTCTCATCACTTCAGGACGCCTGAGTCCTCCGTTTTCTCTCAATCTTGAATGCACCCGGTACTTCATTATTCCTTAGTAATGACAGAATTTGAAATTGTAACTGTGATTGCATTTGGTGAGGCGACCTAGTTATGTCTGTTTACAGTTGCTACATTCAAGATCCATTGTGAGTGGTGTTGAAAGCTTCAACTGTTCTTATTGTTAGTAAAACTTGTCAAGTAAGTGAGTGTCGAGTTTGTCAGTTAGAGTGGCCTATTTTATGTCGTTCGTGCTGATATCCTGAATTTCCGATCGCTACTGAAGTTATATTATTTTGTCGCCCAAACATCAGGGAATCTGATGTTTATAGTTTAGTTAGTGTCAGTGGTCTATTTTAGAAAGTCATTAATCTACTGAACAGATTCTGTCAAACTCAAAATCTCCAAGACATTTTTAACCACACCCTGCAAAATACAGTGTACTTAGCAAATGCTGCAGCTTCTGAGAATGTGGGGGGGAGGGGGGGGGAGCGGGGTTACTACTAAGAGCAGAGACGTTACCGAGAACAAATTCTGGCTTGAATGTCATGTACACTAATAGTGACACGTTGCTCGATAAGAGAGAGGAGTTTGAAACACTACTAAGAGTACACCAACCAGATATCGTAGGAGTTGCAGAACTGTTGTACAAGAACAGGAGAATCGACCCAGAGGAATGTGAGTTCAGTATTGCTGGATATGACTCATTCACGAACCTTTCTCAAGAAACTTGCAAGAGGTGTGTGGTTATCTACGCTAGGCAAGACCTTAGAGCCAGCCAGGCGAGGGTACAGGGAGAGGATGTTTTTGAAGAGTCCAAGTGGTGTAAAATTAAATTAAAGGGAGGGGACTTACTTATCGTCGGGTGTATCTACAGATCCCAAACTGTGGCCCACTAAATCAAAGGAACTTAAGAACCTTAATAAACAACGCGACAATGCTCAACCCTAGCCACCTCCTTATCATGGGGGACTTTAACTATGGCGACATCGACTGGAGAAACGAGTCCACACCAAATGACTTGAATAACCCTGCTAATCTTTTTGTAGAAACTCTGAGAGATAATTTTCTGTTCCAACATGTTAGAGACCCGACACATTACAGAGGGGAGCAAACACCCAAGCCACTTGACCTCATCATAACAAACGAGGAGGGTATGGTGGCCAAACTGGAACACCTTGCTCAAGGGGCACTACTCAGTCGAGTGTCCTTACTTGGAGCTGGCTGACGCTCGCCCCACAAGGGGTCACAGCTCAAGATTGAAGAAGCCGCAAGTCCAGAAAACTGTGAGGGGAAACTTTTTCGGAGTGAGACTTGTGAACTCTTGGAACAATCTACCAGAAAATGTTGTGGCGGCACCGAGTGTGACCTCTTTCAAGACAAGACTT